TCCCAAAGCCTAAACGCGACACCCCAAAACCCAAAACCCCAAACCCTAAACCCCTAAACCCTGAGGCCTAAACCCCTGAACCCTAAACCCTAAACTCCTAAACCCCAAACCCCTAAACCCCAGACCCCTAAACCCTAAACCCCTCAACCCCAAACCCGCAAACCCCTAAACCCTAAACCCCAACACTCAAACCCTAAACCCCTAAACCCACCCCCAAACCCCAACGCCTAAACCCCAAAACTCTAAACCCCTAAACCCCAAACCCATCCAAACCCTAGGCCCTGAATGTTAGGGGTTTAGGGTTTAGGGTTTAGGGACCCTAAACCCTAAACCCTAAACCGTACCCAACTTCTCCACTTGGTGCCTTCTCTACGGCTCTCGGATACTCCGCCAACGCTGCCAGGGCAGCCATTAGCCAGCAGTTGCCTTGGTATAACATATGCGGTATAGTGTCGGGTTTAGGGTTTAGGGTTGTAGGGTTTAGGGTTGTAGGGTTTAGGGTTTCGGGTTTAGGGTTTAGGGTTGTAGTGTTTAGGGTCGTAGGGCGTAGGGTTTAGGGTTGAATGTGCTGTATCATTTACAGACTACATGTAATTTGTATCACATATAATGTACACCATAGATTGTGACACATACGATACATACAAGTATGAAGTGCAAACATGTAACATAGATCGTAGATATACTGTATGAGATTTTGCGATATCTGTCATGTTCACGCTCCTGTCATTAGTCGTCCTACAGTTCGCGAAATGTGACCAACCAATCCGGAATTGCACTGTGCTGACCCTACGCCTCAAGCATGTGGAGTAGGCGCATTCATGAGGAGAGAGACAGAGAGAGACTGACTACATTCACACCCACCCTAAACACACATCCCAAAAACTAGACACACGAAACACACGAAAACGAAAGCCCTGAAGCCTAAACCCCAAGCCCTAAACACCAAACCGTAAACCTTCCAAACCCTAAGCCCTTATAGCAGCCCTCATAGAACCCTTTAATACTACTGTTGATGGACAAAATCCTGCATGACCTTATATACCTAAACTATGGGATTTATGGTACTATACTATATTTGGGTCATGCAGGATTTTGTCCATCAGCAGTATGGAACCTTTTAACGGACCAAACCGTAAACCTTCTGGACGAGGGGCCAACTTTTCCTTGCAGCAGGTCTTGGGGATCCTCGGATCGTCGCGGACGTGCCCATAGAGCTTTGGGTTCTCTGGGCTTTGGGGTTTAGGGCCTAGGAATGAGCTTTGGATCTCGGGGCTGTAGGGTTTAGGGTGTAGGAACGAGCTTTGGATCTCTGGGCTTCAGGCCGTAGATTTTTAGGGTTTCGGGGAGTGGGGTTTGGGGTTTAGGGCTCCGTGTTCAGGGTTTAGGTTGCTGGGTTTAGGGCAAATACTCTTACACTGCGGCAAAGCTTGAAATCTAGGGCTTTCTGTGGACTCTAATCTCCGTTTTATGTAGGACATCGTGATTATCATCATAAGTTAGAACATGCATTCAACACCGGCGGGCATCATTTCGCAAGGATCGGGGCTCTCCCTAAGCCCGAAGCCGTACGTCCTAATCCTTCATCCGCAAGCCCCCACTGGCTCGAATAACTTGCGATTCTGCTGCTTACATCGTGGTGTAACGCCGCGAACACCTCAGAAAATCTGTGCGACATGGTCGTATCTTGGCGAGTCTCGCCTCCATCTCTGTATGATCCTGACGAGGTTGGCCCTTTGAAGCCTTTGAGAACTGATTTGTAAATAAGATCCTGTTCGGCCCAATAAGAGGAGATGTCAAATATCCCAATACACAGGGCTACAGCTCGGATGGGTCCGTTCCGAAGCTAGGAAAGTGCGAGGATCTCGTTGAATCAAATTAAAGCCCTAAAGCCCTCATGCCAGGAGTGGAGCACCGACTTATAAGGTTGGGATCCTGTTTAGACGAAGGATATGTGGCTCGCAGCCTTCGAAATACACAACCTCATCTGCAGCCGGCCATCAATGCCATCAAACAATCGCCACTGACCGCGGTGGAGTCGTCGTGCTGGAACCCACATTGGCCTTACCAGTTGCAAGCAGCAACAAGCATCACACCCGGATGTCGTGGAGTTTTGGGTCTTGAATGCCGGGCAGTTCTATGATGAGTGCTAGCCTCGCCTCAGTTCTTGCACCCTGTTCCTCTGCCTGTGCTTCAGGCCTTTTGAGTGGGTTCTGCATGTCCGACGAGTCCACATCCAAGCCTAATCCCTCCTGCAGCCCTGTCGTCTTGATGCGAAAGCCCCTAAACCTTAAACCCTAAACCCTACTTGCCAAGCCTGACTGTCAACCCTCCTCTCTACGGCCTAGACGGAATCCTGTCATCACCACGAGGTAAGAATCCTCAAGACACTCGCAACCTGAACAACTCCCCAAAGCCCCGACCGTCTTGAATCCCTAAACTTCCCACAACCCTCGCACAATACCCCACAACGCCCAATAGTCTTACCTCCGTCAATCCCTAACCCCCCCCCCCCCCCCCCCC